GCTTTGATCTATCTTTCCATCTTACCGTGTTGGTGCTTCGACATTGACTAAGACGAAGAAGGGTCGCTTGAGAAACTTTTCGATTTCGATTTTTGATTGAAGGTCTGTTGTAACAAAGTCATGAGACCAATGTTTAGTTGAATAATCTAGAAATCCATCGTGATCGGTAAAACGTAATTTATCGGATGTCGACTGGTTCATATCAATCCCGTCAGATCTTGAAGTTGTGATTCGAACTTCTTTGAAAGCATGTTGAGTGACTAAATGTTGAGCAATCGTATCTTTACCAGCATATCGCGAGCCAATCAAAGCAATCAGCATGGTTGATGGACGATGGTACCCAAAGGCACGATGGTACCGGTTATAGCGAATAGGACGGCGGCGAGTCAGTTCTTACTCCGGGACGTTGGCTTCCACAACAGATGATGATCATTACCTATAGCGAATAGGACGGCGGCGAGTCAGTTCTTACTCCGGGACGTTGGCTTCCACAACAGATGATGATGTGGAAGCTTCCGCCGAGGAGAGCCGAACATATCTACAACAAACTGTACAACTATCACGTGACTGGCTGTGGTGCAGTCGTGTAACCCCATAACTCTACAACACCCCCCCCACGACAAGCCACAGACAATCCAGCAAAAACAAAATAAGAAAAATAAAAGTAAATGAGAATGAAAAAAAACAAACAAATGAAAAAAAAAACAACTACTCTAAGCATAAATTCCTCTTCCCTGCCTCAAAAAGAAATGGGCCCAGTGCTTTAGTTAAGATATCCGCCTTCTGATTTTTTGAATCTATCCAATGTAGTGTTACTGTACCCTTGAAGAGTTGTTCATTTACGTAATAAAACTCCCTATCTGTATGCCTTGTTCTTTTGTTTGACGAGTTATCCTTTGATACATGAATAGCTGATGTATTATCACAAAAAAGCTTTACCGGTCCCATAGCTCCTACCACATCCTCCACTAAATTCCTCAACCACACCGCCTCTCTCGCTGCTGTCCCCAAACCCATGTACTCAGCATGGCACGTTGAAGTAGCTACACAACCTTGACGTTTTGATGTCCAAGCGAGCGGACATCCTAAGAAGAAAGTAATAAAACCGTGAACAGATCTAGAATATTCTCCGCCCCAGTTAGCGTCCACATAAGTGTGTAGACCAGTCTTGACTTCATTCTTCAACGGCTTGATTTTGAGTTTCACACATCCTGCAGTCTTGAGGTACTTCAGCACACCCTGAATAGCCGTCCAGTGCTGTCGTGTCGGTCTGGCGGAGAATCGTGCGAGAAAATTCGTAGCGTACGTGAGGTCAGGTCTCGTAGCCACCGCTAGATAGTTCAGGCAACCAATGACTGATAAGTAGTTCGTCTTGTCTATATCTTCCTCATCTTCAGCCGGCGATGTCGGTAAGTTGGACGAATTCAACGGAGTTGTTGCCTTGCCTGGTGTTTCTAGATAGTCTCGTATGATTTTGTTAGTAAGACCGGCTTGAGATAGTTCGAAAGATCCATCAGGTAATCTCTCGACGTCGATGCCTATGATGGAGTCCAACGATTCCGTCCATCTAATTTTCAAGTCCTTGATCAAAGCCTGTGAAATTTCTCTCAACAACTCAACACTGCTCCCCGTCACCGCGCCATCATCCACATGAACCCAGACAATACATACACCATCCTCCCTCTTACACACATACAATGCTTGGTCAAATTGACTTGGCACAAACCCCAACTTCTTCAAGATCTTCTCGAAATGCTTCCACCAGCATCTTGCCCCCTGCTTAGTACCATACAACGCCTTCACAGCCTCCAAAATCTTATTCGCCTTCCTCGCCTCATCCATACAACCTGGTGGCAGTTTGAAGAAAATTCGTTCGGTGATGTCGCTATGTAGATAAGCCGCCGTGACGTCGAATGAATGCACAGGCCATCCCATACGCGCCGCTAGAGTTAAGAGAAAACGTAAAGATGCCATGCATGCCGTTGGTGCGAACGTCTCTTCGTAGTCGATGCCTTCTCGTTGCGCAAATCCTTGTGCAACCAATCGGGCTTTGAACTTGATTGGTCTGCCTTCAGAGTCGAGTTGCTTGTATTTGAATACCCACTTCAAACCCAGCGTGATCACGTTGTCAGGTCTATCCACCACTTTCCACACTCCCATCTCCTCCATTGCCTTCAACTCCACTTCAATCGCCTCCTTCCACTCCTCAGCAAATTCATCCTTCATAGCCTCCTTATAGTTCGCCGGTTCCTTCAAACCAGCGGACAAGTTAACCTTGTTGACTAAATCTTCAACTTGAGCGTCCTCAGCTAGTACAGCGTTCTCGGCCGTGAAGTCACCCAGACGTAGCGCGTTGATGATGAACTCCAAAGCTCCCTTCTTTGGTGGTACATTGATTAATTTGTTGAGAGACTCAGACGAGGTAGGTTGATCTGATTCAGCGCTCGGGGTAGTTTGTGCAAATTTATCTTCGTACGGAAATTCAGCTATGCCGGTTTTTAGCAGAACCTTTGATCTAGGATCGTAAAAAATCCAACCTTTTCCACCATCCAAGTAACCAATCATCATACATCTCCTCCCTCGCTCATCTAATTTCCCGTCTCTCTGAGCAGCGTGTCTATGAATAAAAGCTGTCGCACCGAACGTCCGTATGATGTCCAGTTGAGGTTTACGACCGTGGAACAGTTCAAAAGGCGTTTTATCACCAGTTAGTGAGTTTGGTAATCGATTATGAAGATAGCATGCAGCTACATACGCAAACGACCAAAATGATTGCGGAAGACGCGAAGCCGCCAGCATCGTTCTTCCCATATCACTGATCGTGCGATTAAGTCGTTCTGCGACTCCGTTCTGTTCCGGTTCGTAAGGGTTGGAGTGTTCATGGTGGATACCTTTCGATTTTAACCAGTTACTGAAGGTTGTCTTGATGTATTCACCACCACCATCGGTGCGCACATGCTTCACTTTAAAACCTGTCTCCCTCTCCCATCGATTGATCACCTTAGTAAATGTATCAGGGACGTCTGACTTATTCTTGATGATGACTATATCTGAGAAGGTAGTCGCCACGTCTCGGAATGTGACTGTGAAACGATTGCCGTTTACGTCTTCCGGAAACGGTCCCATTACGTCTGAAACGATGACGTCCAAGAGTCCGTAATCTCGTCCTGTGCGACCCAGTTTCCTTCGACGTGTACTCTTGCAGGTTAAACAGTCTTCGCAGGTGAAAGATGCAGATGGGATCGTCGTGGGTAGGCCTAAACCCATCTGCCCCACACAGAGTTTACGTACTCGTTTCATGTCGACGTGTCCGAAACGTCGATGCCACAAGTAAGCAGCATCGGTATCATTTTGGGTACTCATGGCGCTCACTTTCCCAATTCGATCAGGTGGAGAAGAAGAGAGAACAGGGGATTTCATTGCGTTGATGACCCATCGACGATTACAATAAGAGGCTACGATAGACTTGTTATTTAACATTCTGATGACCACATCACTTCCCCAAAACCACAACTTTGCACCACCTTCAACTAACGCCGCTTGCGATATGAGAGTTCCGGTAGCTTGAGGGCTGTAGTAGACGTCGCGTAGGAGGTAGTCTGATCCGTCTTCAGTTTTCACTCGAAGGCACCCTTTCCCTATCAGCGAGGCCGTGTCACCATGAGCGGCTGTCTTCATGACAATAGGTTTGGGAAGGGGTGTATAGTTCAGGAGAGAATGTAAGGCGTTGCTTACATGGTGCGTAGCTCCGCTGTCCAGAAGATACTCCTCGTTTTCATTTGGAGAGTTACCTTCTGCGCTCCACGCAACCGTCGCAGCTGACACTTGAGAGGGGCCGGTAGATGAACCAGAGGGTATAGTTTCGATTTGTACTTGACGAGCTTTGACGACGGGGTGCTTTGGAAGAGGAAGACCGAGTGCTTGAATACTATAAATGCGATCGTTGATAGTGCATTTTCGCCAATCCCAGAAGTGAGGAGCGCTTCGTGGTTCTCCAACTGCAGCCACCGGACAATTAGCGAATCCATGGCCAAATTCCGCGCAGTGGAAACATTGAAATACCCCAGCGAGGACTTCTCGTGCGGCGCCCTTCCCTGGAGTGATAGGGGACGCCTCTGACTGCTTTCGTAGGCTGCCGTCAGGGCTGATAGGGCCTGGTGAGTTTGGTCCGCTGCGAGAACCAACGGTCGGTACAGACGAAAAGCGATTGGAAGGCGTCGCATATGCCGGTTTTGGTTTCATTCGTTGGGTGTTCCAGTTGACAGGATTCATGCGTTGCGAGAAAGATGCAGCGAGAGCGTGTATTTCGTCGCTTTGATTAACCGTTTTACGAGTCGTGATCAAGTTTTGATAAGCTGAACGAATTTCACTCGATGCGTACTGAGACTGATCGGTTCGGTATCTTGCGTCGAGTGTAGCGTTGAGAACGTCCATTCCATACTCGCCGGATGTCGGCGAGCACAGCTGATACACCATTCCTTTCACCACATCCTCCTCCCACTTGAAACCAGCAGATTTGAGTCGTTCGAAGTCGGTGTTCACATCGTTAACAAAGGTCATAAGGTCCGTTGATGCTGGATCGAACTTTCTAAACATGATTGATCTGAAAGTTACATATTGAGCCGTGCGTCCACCCTGTTTGAACAGATCATCGAGAGCGAACATCGCATCGTGAGCTTTGAATTTGGTGCTGATCATATCTCGAAGGTTCTGATCGATCGTCGATTGAATAACGCGGCCAGCACAGCGATCAATCTTCATTTGTACAGGTGAATTTTCGTCAGGACGTTTCGAGAACCAGTAATCTTGAATGCCGGTCATGTCAAAAACAGCTCTGGATGTGCGTATTTTCCATCGAGCCATGTTCGATCCATCTAGTTTCAGATGTTCAACGTCTCCGATGAACTTATGAACGTCGTCGTGTTTCTTGTCTAGTTCTTTCAGTAGTTCTGCAGTAGGGTCGTTTTGAGACATGATGATAGTCTGATCGGCTTCGTGGTCTGAGGAACTGTCGGTTATCGTGCGTCGTCGAGATCGTTGGGTTATGTTATGCGCGAAAGAGTTATCAGGAGGGGGTTGATTTAAATGAATATGAGGAGGAAGTGATTGAACGAAAGGGTTCTTGGGGGGGTTATGTTCAGGGTCGAGTTCGCCAGCAGGCGTATTCTCCCTAGTAGACGTAGATTCTTCGGGCGGTTCCTCCTCTAAAATCGATTTAGACCTAGTTCTAGATTGTGATCGAGATTTTGATTGAGCACGAGTTTCAGGTCCTGTCTGTGACGTGGATTGCAACTTTTTCGGTGGAGTACGGGGAATTGACA